GGGAAAAAATGGGAGTTTGGGGGGAAATGGGAATTTGGGGCAAAAAATGGGGGGAAAAAAGGGAATTTGGGGGTGGGGAAATGGTCAAAAATGGGGATTTGGGGGTCAAAGGAACGCCTGTGCAGCATCTGCCGGGACAGGAGCTCGGGTGAGACACTTTTGGGGCAAAAACGGGGATTTTGGGCAAAAAACGGGGAAAAAATGGGAGTTTGGGGGGAAAATGGGGATTTGGGGGGAAAATGGGGATTTGGGGCAAAAATTGGGGAAAAAAGAGGGAAAATGGGGATTTGGGAGGCAAAAAAGTGGCTGTGCAGCATTTGAGGGGACAGGAGGTCGGGTGAGTGAGATTTGGGGCAAAAAACGGGGATTTTGGGCAAAAAATGGGGAAAAATGGGAATTTTGGGGGGGTTTTGTTCAATCTGGGTTGATTTTTGCTGTGATTTTCTGGGATTTTACTGGAATTCTGTGGGATTCCCAATTCCAGGAAAACATTCCCGGGTTTTGGCTGCGAGGGCTCGGCCAGGGGGATTTTGGGGCAATTTTGGGGCAATTTTGGGGCAATTTTGGGTGGATTTTTCCCAATTTTGGGCCAATTTTCATCAATTTTGAGCGGATTTTTGCCGTTTCTGGGCCGATTTTCGCCCGGATTTTTTGGGATTTTCTCCCAAATTCCCTGAAGATTCCCAAAAAATTCCGAATTCCAGGAATGTCCAGCTGTGAGGGCTGCAAGGGCTTCAACAAGGGCACTTTGGGTCAATTCTGGGTCACTTTTGGGTGAATTTTGGGCCGATTTTCATCGATTTTGGGCAAATTTTCATCCATTTTCAGCCGATTTTCGCCGTTTCTGGGCCGATTTCCGCCCGGATTTTTTGGGATTTTCTCCCAAATTCCTTAAAAATTCCCTAAAAATTCCCAATTCCAGGAATGTCCAGCTGTGAGGGCTGCAAGGGCTTCTCCAGGGGCCATTTTGGGTCCATTTTGGGTCAATTTCGTTGGATTTTGCTCCATTTTGTGCCGATTAGATTTTCATCGATTTTGGGCCAATTTTTGCCCCGATTTTTTGGGATTTTCTCCCAAATTCCCTAAAAATTCCCTAAAAATTCCGAATTCCAGGAATGTCCAGCTGTGAGGGCTGCAAGGGCTTCTCCAGGGGCCATTTTGGGTCCATTTTGGGTCAATTTCGTTGGATTTTGCTCCATTTTGTGCCGATTTTTCTGATTTTTGCTCCGATTTTTTGGGATTTCACCCGAATTCCATCAGAATTCCCAACTCCTGTCAAACATTTTGGGATTTTGAGCTGCAGATGCATTTTGGGTCAATTCTGGGTCACTTTTGGGTGGATTTTGGGCCGATTTTCATCGATTTTGAGCCGATTTTCGCCGTTTCTGGGCCGATTTCCGCCCGGATTTTTTGGGATTTTCTCCCAAATTCCCCAAAAACTTCCCGATTCCAGGCAAGCACTACGGCGTGTCCAGCTGCGAGGGCTGCAAGGGCTTCTTCAAGCGCACGATCCGCAAGGACCTGACGTACACGTGCCGCGACAACCGCGAGTGCGTGGTGGACAAGCGGCAGCGCAACCGCTGCCAGTACTGCCGCTACCAGAAGTGCCTGGCCACGGGCATGAAACGGGAGGGTGAGGCTGGGGGGGACTGGGGGGGACTGGGTCGTACACGTGCCGCGACAACCGCGAGTGCGTGGTGGACAAGCGGCAGCGCAACCGCTGCCAGTACTGCCGCTACCAGAAGTGCCTGGCCACGGGCATGAAACGGGAGGGTGAGGCTGGGGGGGACTGGGGGGGCCTGGGGGGGAAGATTTTTTTCCCCACTTTTCACCATTTCGCCACCATTTTTTTACCGTTTTTTCCCCATTTTTACCATTTCCCCCCGTTTTTCCCCCATTTCCCAGCGGTGCAGGGCCGGGACAAGGAGCCCGACGGCGACTCCGGGCTGGCCCCAGACCGGGCGCTCCCATCCCAAATTTCCCCATTTCTCCCCCATTTTTACCATTTCCCCCATTTTTACCATTTTTACCATTTTCCCCCGTTTTTCCCCCATTTTTCCCCAGCGGTGCAGGAGCAGCGCCAGCGGGGCCGGGACAAGGAGCCCGACGGCGACTCCGGGCTGGCCCCAGACCGGGCGCTCCCATCCCAAATTTCCCCATTTTTCCCCATTTTTCCCATTCCTTCTCCATTTTTCCCAATTTTCTGCTGTTCCCATCACTCCCATCCCATTTTTCCCCATTTTATTGCCAATTTTTCCTCCTTTTTTTGCCATTTTCCCCCGTTTTTCCCCATTTTCCCACCGTTTTTTCACTATGTTTTTCTCCATTTTTTCACTGTTTTTCCCCCATTTTTTCCCAATTTTTCTACATTTTTCCCCCGTTTTTTCCCCTGTTTTCCCCCATTTTTCCCTTATTTTTCCCTGTTTTTCCCCATTTTTCCCCATTTTTTCTCCATTTTTTCCCCATTTTTTCCCCATTTTTCCACCACTTTTCCCCTTTTTTCCCCATTTCTTCCCCATTTTTCTCCCCGTTTTTTCCCCTCTTTTCATCATTTCTCCACCATTTTTTAACGTTTTTTGCCATTTTTTTGCCATTTTCCCGCCGTTTTCCCCCATTTTTCCCCACTTTTCCACCATTTCTTTCCCCATTTTTTCCCCATTTTCCCCATTTTTTCCCCATTTTTTTCCCCATTTTCCCCCATTTTTCCCCCATTTCTGCCCCATTTTCCCCATTTTCCCCATTTTCCCACCGTTTCTTTCCCAATTTTTCCACCATTTTTCCCTCATTTTTTCCCCGTTTTTCCCCATTTCTTCCCCATTTTTTCCCCATTTCTTTCCCCATTTTTCCACCACTTTTCCCCGTTTTTCCCCATTTTTCTCCATTTTCCCCCATTTTTCCACCATTTTTTCCCCACTTTTCACCATTTCTCCACCATTTTTTTACCATTTCCCCCCGTTTTTCCCCCATTTTTTCCCCAGCGGTGCAGGAGGAGCGCCAGCGGGGCCGGGACAAGGAGCCCGACAGCGACTCCGGGCTGGCCCCAGACCGGGCGCTCCCATCCCAAATTTCCCCATTTTTTCCCCCATTTCCCCATTTTTACCATTTCCCCCCGTTTTTCCTTCCCCCATTTTTTTCCCCAGCGGTGCAGGAGGAGCGCCAGCGGGGCCGGGACAAGGACGCTGACGGGGACCTGGGGGCGGCGCCCAACGAGGAGATGCCGGTGGAGAAGCTTCTGGAAGCCGAGCTGGCCGTGGAGCCCAAGAGCGACGACGGCGCCGGCCCCGGCGGAGCCTCCGTGAGTGCCACCCCCAATTTTGGGGCGATTCCCACCGATTTTGGGCAATTTGGGAGAGGGGAGGAACCCCGGGATCAAAATAAGGCCAAAATCCCCCGAAATTCCCGGTGAAAATTCCGACAAAATATTGGAAAATTCGGGTAAAAATCCTGAAAAATTCCGGCCAAAATTCTTGAAATTTCTCCCTAAAATTCATTGGAAAATTCTTAAAAAATTTGCTCAAAGAGCTGTGAAGAATTCTGTCAAGCCTCAAAAAGATTCCCCAGAATCCCTCAAAATTCCCACAAAAGTTGGGAGATTTCCTGCAAAATTCCTCAAAATTTTCACCCAAAATCCTTCAAAATTCTGGGAAAAAATCCTCGAAAATTCCCCTGAAATCCTTTAAAATTCTGGGAAAAAATCCTTGAAAATTTCCCTGAAATCCTTGAAAATTCTGGGAAAAAATCCTTGAAAATTCCTCCCAAAATCCTTCAAAATTCTGGAAAAAATCCTTGAGAATTCCCTCAAAATATTTCAATATTTTGGTCAAAAATTCTCCAAAATTT